AAGCACTACGAAATAAGTAAAAGTAGCAAATTGTATTAATTTATGGTATAGATTTATGGCAGGGTTGGGCATGTATTTAAAATACTTTTATTTGAAAATGATAATTGTAAGACAATTGTATCGTGTATTTTGTATTTGAACGGCGTACATAAAAATATTTTGCATTTTATATTTTATGGAAGTATATAAAAGTATTTTATATTTTGTATTTCAGTATTATTAATGAAAGATTGAAAGTATTTTGTATTTTAAATACTAAGATATTGAAGATTGTTATTATTTAAATTACGAAGTACATAGAGCTTTCAATTTTAAATACAAAATATGTAATACTTTCATGTACATCGCTGAAATATAAAATATAAAATCTACTTTTATTCCGAAAACTGTGTTTTAAATAAAAGTATTTTAAATACATGCCCAACTCTGATTTATGGTATGGTATAAATCTAAATAAATACGAAAAAGATATAATTACGGAAAATAAAAAGAATTAATAAGATACATCTTTAACTACACATATATCATTCCTGTCTGTTCTAGCGCTTCGTCTGTATTTTGTCGTACTTAAAACATGGCAGAGTCTATAGATTTTCCCTCTTAAGATTTTTGAAATTTAACGAGGTTATTACTATATTAATTATTGGAGATTAATATTAAGTGATTATATATCTTTCTTTTGTATTCCATGGACCCGCTTGGTAAGCATATAAGTTTTGGTCAATTACGTAAATCAATTTAAATATATTTTCAAACATTAATTTAATTAATATTTAGATAACAAAATTTTGTTACCAACACGTATGGAAACTTTGACCGATAATTGTTACTACCTGACGGATACTACTTGTAAATTCCACGTCAATGTTTTATTGAGGATGGTCCAAAGGTCGATGTAACTATATATCTTATGTTTTATTAAATTTTTCTACAAATTTAAATTTTCTTCGTCTTTATTGAAATATAAGGAGTCCATTATTAATTATTGTATTAATAATTAAGTAATTAAAAAAATTAACTATTTGAATGATAATAAAAAATAATTCTATAACAAATATAGAGCCGACACTTTGTTCTCATATCTCGCTTTTTGTTATTTTCTCGTTATTATCTCGTTTTCAAAGAACGGTTGAATGAACCACTGATATCCCGTTTGATATCCCGTCGTGATTTTGCCGCCACGCTGCTGTGATTTGCGAACCGCGCAGAACGTACATACGGCTGATCGGGGACGACTATGGATTTCGCATAAAGTAACGTTACATCGCATGCGAGTAAATTAGTCGCTTAATCAAACCGTTTAATCAGCGGCATGATCGCGACCGCATCTGGCCGAGCTGTTCGCGCCAATTATCTCTTGTCCCTCCGATCCCCTCATCTGTCTCCCTCCTCTCCTACGTGCGCAACCGCGTACACTGACGTAACTATAGATAGGGGAAGATCTGAACGCGAGATTTGGACAAGAATTTTGCAAAATCGGTTAAATCTATCTCGATATATCGGTATCGGTGATCGGACAAACTCGAAGAGGATCTTCAATTTTAATAAATTTATTTGAATGGTCTAGTAAATATTTACTAAATGTAAACATATGTCTATTTTTTTTTATATAAAAATTATTAATTTAACTCTTCCCTTTTTATTGAATAAATATTGATTTACTATAAGTAACTTTACTTTAGTATTATTTAGTAAATATGATAGAGTTTACACTTGATTGTGTATGTATTATCGTCATATCATGCTTGCACGACAACTGATTATGGTATTATATGTTTTTCAAATTAATCGCATAACAATTCTCTCTCGGCAATCACCTTCGAAAAAGAATGTTCCAATTTCGGTTCTAAAAATGTTCTATAGTTTTACTGAAGACCAGTCCTACTTTACAGTACAAAACAGTACTCGGGAGGAAAAAACGATTAATGGAAGATCGATATTCTCAGCCAAATCATACAAATAAAAAACATGAGAATCTTGCAATTTATACAAGTTTTTTAATGTTTAAATTAAAGTAATTTTTGATTATCCGTTTTCGAGGGAAAAATAATTTATAGGTGATAATGATGAAGCCATCAAAATTGATGACTCAAAAATGATAACAAAAGTTGTTTTAAGGAAAAAAATAGATACGTAAATGTGCAGTATAACAGATAAATTATCTTAAAATGTATTGTTGATACGTATTTAGAATAAATTAAGAATCATACTTTTTTTATTAAACAAAAAATAAAATGAGTATAAAAGGGTAAAAACTAAACGACACACATATGGTCTCTGAAAATCTTTTTATATTATTTTATAGCGTATATTACATATACCTAATATATATAGCACTCTAACTTTCTACATTATAAACTCTCTCCTCTTATATGAATATAATACATACTATAATACAATTTTAATGTACCTAAAATCTAGGAGACCTTCATGAAAAGTTTATCTCTTTATAAAAGCGTGACTAATGAGGGATTCCAGCGTCTTAGAACTTCTTTTAACGCTGCTAAAGTCACCCAATTATTCGCTTGATCTCCAGCGATCCCTCGATGCTTTAAAATTTTAGACGCTAGCGAATAAAAAACAAGCTTGTAGGAGAAGCTTTCATTATTTCCTTTGTTAATACTGTAAAGGAATCATTATGAATTGATTCCTTTTACAGGATTGTTATTCTCTCAAATCTTTTGCAGTAAAATCTATACATAAGATCAAATGTTCACAATTGTATTATATTTTTTTAGATGGAAACTCGCTGAGGAAATTTTCAAAAAAAATTTCTACCTCTGTTGCCATTTGGTTAAGGCTGCAAAAAAAGTAAATCCGATCCTGCCGTCTCCCACCAGGATTGTTTCACTATACGGCTATGATGTTATGCAACATCGTGCTACCGACTCCACCTCTCTGTTGGAGGGGACGTTATAAGGGCGGCATTTTCCCCACTCGGTGTGCGGACGCTGGAGGTGGCTCATCTACCGTAATGTTATATATACATAGAACTACTCCGCGTTCGTAGTTCAAGCACATCACATGGTTTCGTGGTGCCATACAGACCTCGCACTAAATAGAGGAAGAAAAGATTTGTGCATGTTGTGATCAGTAACACACATATCTTTTTTCTTTTCTTTTCTTTATCGAGTGTATATTTCTCAGAGAGAGAGATCGCAAATTGTGATTATACGTTCTAATTGTGGTGCATTACGGAATTCCAGATATAAGAGAAGAATAGACAACGTGTAAGTTGCTATCTTTGATTCTTACAGAATTTGCGTTAACGAGACATTGTAAATTGTTTGTTTATGTCTTACACAACTGAGGTTTTTTTTTTAAGTCTTGTGATTTTATTCGATATGATATTTATTTGACACTTCTCACCTTTGAAGCGTCCGATGAATAATTTTTAACGTTTACATTTTGCGAGTGATTTGTGTCGCGAGATATGAGTTTGAAATGATAACTGAAATGTAATACTTACGTCGCATCCTTTCTTTTCATTATAATTATATAATTATCAATATCTTTTAAAGCAAAGAGAGAGAGAGAGTGATGTGTAATCTGCACTTATGAATTTTTTTGTGTCAATCTATCGACTCATAATCGAAAATATAAAATTATGTCTTCTATTTTAAATAAACAAAATTAACGTTATACGGCCTAAAGATTTTACCTGTTTCTAAAAAATGACTCTCTAAAAATAGCCCTTAAAAAGATTGCTCATTACTATTTGAAAGGATTATGCATATAACTTCGCGGTTTCGTATCTATACTGCAATTTTCAATAATTTGAAGTTTAAATGCGTGATTAATTTATTTTGCGAAGGACAAGAAGATAAAATTAAATTGCTGTTGACGTGTGTTGTATTATTTTGGCACGAGATTCTCGTATTTGCTAAATTTAGAAAATCGTAAGACTTAAAAAATATTTAATCACATACGAATTTTTTTTTCCCTGAAATATATAGATAGATGATCGCGAAAATATTGGACGTTCACGTTTGCTAACGAAATATTGTACTAAAACATTCAAATTATACTACAATTCGTAATACAGTTTACATACTTATACCACGCATCGTGTAGCATCCGTTATACCATTTTCCGTGTCAATAACATTTTTAAGAGCTTTGTATTTATTGGGGGGTTATTAAACAAAAATTTTTGAAATTAGAAACTGATCAGTCAGACTGCGGTCTGCGTTTAAGTTTGCTCGTTGTATTCAAATATATCTTGGGGAAACAGCCTGTAGTCTACGTATCCTTCTTCACTTCAAAAAATCAATCAGACTACGATAGTTATGATTAATGAGGCTCTTTTTTTAAATATATTATCACAGCTAAAAACGTTCATCTTATGTATTCTGCATTGTGCTAAATTTATGTCAATTTATAAACTGTTTTCAGCACCAATATATCGGCACATTTTGTTAAAAAAAAAAAAAAAGCCTTATTCCCAGAGACAACTACTGTACAATTAGAAAAAGTCAGTATCGTGCTAATATCTAATAATAAAGTGTATAAATATTTGAGTCCATGCAATAAGTTTGTTTTCTTGACGAAACCAGATAAAAATAATTGTGCTCATTCAGACTTACTATTAGTGTTGTATATGATCGTATAATGGCTCGTAAAATATTGATCATCAATTAACATACATAGTTGGCGCGATAAAATTGTTTCATCCATTAATAAACATGTAATTCCGTCGATCACTGAAACCTGAAATTACAATTTTAAATTTTTGTGCAAGCCTCGAATTATTTTTAAAGTTTTGAAGAAGTTTTAAATTCTTAATTCTTTATACTTAAAATTTTATATTTTCTTTTTTTCTGTGTGCTTGCCTACAAAATCGCGACCACTTGACTTGAAGAGTTCGATCTGATGTATTTCGCTACCAAGCGATGATATTAAAGCTTAATTGCGAACGTTTGAATACTTTCGTGATCGTATTACACGTATGATATGCCTGGTTAATATATGCATGTGTTTCAATTGTTGTAGAGTAACGAGATGAGGAATCATTACGACGAGGAGAATAGCCCGGACAATAATCCGGAGGAGGACAATATAGTCGTCGACCAGGTGAACACATCGCGCAGTTCGCATTCTGATAATGGTGAGCTGTATATGAATATTTAGAAGATCATTTGAGGAATGTTCCATAAATCCATTATTATAGAACTAATATATAGGGCATTACTGATGTATAACACCATTATCTTTGGCGTTTAACCGCATTTTTTTTATTAGAGTGACACTGCTCAAATTAATTGTTGTATATCGAGAATGATAAACATATTGAGTCGATTACGTGAATAAAAATATTTATTTCATCCTTTTCGTTTTTTTTTTTCTATAATACTGGATTTACGAAATGTCTTATTGTACGTAGAGAGAAAAAGTAGCTGTACTAATATCAAAATATATTAATCAAATATTAATACAATATTAAACAATAATATTTTATTAATTAGTGTCTATCTGCATAGACATACGTAAGAATGGGTAGGAAAGAGAGCGCTTACCGACTTTAAATTTTGACAACGAGAAATAATTATGATTCTATGAAAATAATTTTTACGATAAAGAATTAAACGATAAAGAATTATTGAATTTGTAATTCACACGTTATTCGTGGAAGAAAAGGTTGCTGAATATCTCGAATACTGTAGTTTTAATATAAATATTTTAATAAGTTTTCGTGTGAGGATATACAGCTATGGCAAGTGTCAGTTCTAAAACGCTTCCGATTAATTACCATTATAGTCGCTTAACAATGACTTCTCTTTATATTTGCGGCATTAAAAGCGCGAGAATTGACGCCAAGAAATGATAGCATTTTTATTTCCTTTTATTATGACATCGCCTTCTTTTCCATTCTCGACTATTTTATGTGATTTGCATTATTATTGTGACGCAGTTTCACGTTTGTTCCGCTCAACCACTAACCAGGAAAAATCGAAAAGGTTATACAATGTTTCATAGAAAAATCAGTGGGAGACTGGCCGGAAGTAACTTCGTAAAACGATGTTTTTTGCCTTGCTATTTTCTAACAGATTTCTACCTGCTGTTAGTTTCTTTTGACCCTTGTCATTAAGCTAACTTATTATATAAGGTGACAATATAGAAATTAAATTGGCAGTTTTGCAGCATTGATTCTCTTAAAAAAATGACGACTAGAAACATCTTTTGTTATATTTCTGTAAAAGTTTTCATTTTTGAACAACTTATCTGCTGTTGGTTGCGTTTGTCGCTAAAAGCTATAACTTATTATATTTTATTCTTTTTTACGGAAAAGTTGTGCTTTGATAGGTATACTTCGAAATAACTTGCCTATACAGGTAACGTGAAAATAGAGATTGAGTTGACAACTTTAGCATTTCTTGTTACATCTTTATAGATATAAAGATATTTAGGTATAAGGCATCGACATTAGTCAGTATGACGAAAAGAAAGATTAGCGACTTTGCGCATTTTAATTACTTTTTTAATAAAGAGCACAATGTGTAAAACAAAAACGATTTGCATGGTTTTACTAATTTTCAACATAATATAGTTTCTTGCCTAATTCCGCTCATTTTACAACTAAAAATATTCAGATTGAAGAGATAAGGCCATTAAAAATAATATCATATTTTGAGTTTAGCCAAGAGGAACAAAATCACCAATAGACGAATTAATTGTGTAAAATAATTTTAATTTTGTAATGTGTGCAAAAACATTTTCTGAATGTTTCAAAATTCCATCTTTTTTTCTGCTATTTCTCTCGAATTTGCTAGTGGAGGGAAGATTATAATGTTCAGTGTTTTGTGCAGATCTACAATCGTCGACTTTGCGCCTCAATCAGCACCAGCAACAGTCTCAACAGCAATCTCAGCAGCAACAGCAGCAGACACCAATCCCTCCTATAGATCCTAACGTGAGGAGATACAGAACCGCCTTCACGAGGGAGCAACTAACTCGGCTAGAAAGCGAATTTAGCAGAGAGAATTATGTCAGCCGACCAAGGAGATGCGAATTGGCCACACAGCTTAACTTGCCAGAATCTACGATAAAGGTAAAAAATGTATACTAACAAGTATATTTTTCTAAAGAGACGTGCTCTTGATAAGTCACACGTTAACTCGATCTATAACGCCATTTAATGTTGAATTCACACATTCATATATTTGAGTATAAAAAGTCTTATCTTATATATTTCTATCATAATTGATGATGAGCGTATAAATATTTTACTATTGTTTAATTTTTCTTATCGTGATGTACATGTAATTTTAATAATCTGCAGCTTAATTTAGTCTCGTTATGTTTTATTATTGTATGTGTGTGTAAGTATTAACTTTTAAAAATTATTTTTTCATAATAAAATATTTAAAAAAATTGAAAGTTAACTGTTATATTAGTTTTTCAAGATCAGTACTCGCTAATATTTATCTACCCATTTGTGATTTTCTGTACAACACGAAAAAAAACCAGATTATATAGAACTAAAGATTTCACAGTCTAATGTAGATTTTCTTCGCTTCATCGATACACTTCACGTTTATCTATCAGAAACATTGAAACAATTGTGCATTATCTGTGCAAAATCAGTGACAAAATTATTTAACGTTTACACTTGAGTCACTTTTTTTGGTCTCTGTCAAAACAGAATAAGTAACATAAATATAACTTCAATCTTTTTCATTAAATAAACGCTAGATTGAATGTTGCGACTGCAGGTGCTGTGAGTTTAAGTGATCGAGAATGAGCAAACGTTTACTCGCACAACTCGATAAACAGTGACTTTATTTGCGATCGGTGCAATAACTTTTCCATTAGCGCTTTCGTGTTGATCGAGGAATTCGCGACGGATTATTAAGAAAATCCTTCGATCATTTAATAATTATTAATAATAAGTATGCGAATAAAAGTCGAGCTTACATACACACACTTTTCTTTTTTGTATAGATATTTATTTTATCTTTTTATTGCAATTTTAAGAGATTTAAATAATAATATTTCTCGTATCACGATTTAATTTCTCACGGCTACCACGTCGTGTCCGCGAAGACAAGGGCCCCTAAAGTCAAGCGGCTTAATAAAAGCAATTAGTGACGTTTTTGTTCGCGCGAGCCGCCGCGCCGAGAGCTTCCGATGGCATTATTTCTTGCTGTGGCCAGCTGCGGCCATATTTGATCGGCGATTATAGCCTCGAGAGAGCGATTCAACGGCCTTTGATCCTTCTCTCTCGCGTGTCTCCCACGACAGTGCCGTAACGTTAGATCCCGCGGAAATCGTGACGGATCGCAGAACGAGGACTCCTCCCTTACGTGAGTACATTATATAGCCGCGCATATCAACGTTTCGGGGACCGACAGTTTAGTCACGGCCCTGATCGGAGGGGTGACCGGTCGGGCGAAAGTGTTAAACGGCTCAATTAGCGACTGCCTCGCGGCCCACCTCGGACTTTAATGGATCTCTTAATTTCTCGTCTCGCGCGGTAGCTCGCACTCGCCTCGGTTGGCGGTCGTAAAACGGCGCGGCGCGGCGGCGGGCAACGAAGAGGAGGGGAACGGCCCGAAGAGGTGTTAAATGACGGTAAACGTCCCGCACGAATTACCGGTATAATCGTTCGCCGCCTCTGAGAGAGAGAGAATTCCCTACATTCGTGAATATCTCTATACGTATCTTATCTATATAAGAAGTATATATACGCATCTCTCTGCCAGATCGTCTTGTTTTATTGTAAAACAGTAGACATTTTTGATCGGTTTGCATACAAATCGTCGAATAAACCGACTGTACGGGGAAGCGGAATTGATTATTTTTTGTTGAGAGTATAAGTATAAAATTAATTAATTAGATATAAAGTTTGATTTAAAAAAAAAAAAATTTGTTTTTGCGCAGGTATGGTTTCAAAATCGTCGCATGAAAGACAAACGACAACGACTATCATTGACATGGCCCTTCTCGTGGAATTCGGATCCCACTCTAGCGGCGGCGTTGCTCGCGGCTGCCTCGGCGGGCTCGTTTCCGCATATGGGTTACCCGCCTATTCCTACGTCGAATTTACCAGCGACGACACACTTGGCCCCTTCAGCAACACCGTATCCGAACGCGGCCGCGGCCGCGGCTGTGTCCACTTACTATCGTTATACCGGGTATCATCCGACGAATTCGGTCACCGCGCTTCATCGACCACACGTTCGCCCTTTGGCCGCCCCTTATCCGACACCCTCGCACCTATCGCTGTCCTCGCATCCGTCGATACCACCTCTGCATATCCTGTCGAGTATGCAAATGCCAAACATCGCTGCTGCTTCCGCCTTTCCTTCCATGGGTAATCCGCCGCCGCCTCCTCCTCCTCCTCCTCCTCCTCCACCTCCTCCTCCTGTTACCATGCCATATCGGCCGCCGTTGATCGAAGAGCTTAGCCCGGTAAATTCGTCCTCCTCGAGCGAGTACGATTACGGAACGAGTCCTCCTGTTCAGTTATCGCACCCTACACCGACGTCGCATCACTCGGTCCAGCAGCTGCCGCTGTCGCATCCGCATTCGGACTATTCGCATCACGCGCATCGCCTTACCGCACCCGTGATGCCAATAATATCGCAACGAGATAGACTCAGCAGCGGCGAGCAGCCGATAAGACTGAACGGAATGAGTGTACCGGTCATGACGGTACTGCCATTCGAGAACAACGTGAACAACGCCTCGTACAATCACGTAGCGATTCCTTCGACGTCGGAGATATCAGCCTTGTCGTCGCTTTCGTTGAACAGGTCTGAGAAGGAGCTGGAGGAGGAAAAGAAAGAGAAGGAGAAGAAAGAGAAGAAAGAGAAGGAGAAAGAGAAGGAGCAAGAACAAGAGCATCAACATCGTCAACAGCCGCAACAATCACTTCAGTTACCTCAGCCACTTCAACTATCTCAGCCATCGCAGCTACGGCAGCCTCCTCAGCCCAAATTGTTTCAGCCGTACAAGAACGACAAGGATCAAAACGGCACGATGTAGAATAAAAAATAATAAGATATCGTAAGGTAATAGACTATAAGTTCCTTTCGGCTCCGCGGCGACACGATTGCTCGCTATAGTACGAACGACTCGGTTCAAGCCCCCCCCCCCCCCCCCCCCCCCCG